TTTAATTTCATTAACCAAGTCAATAGACCTTTATATTTAACCCTGTGTATTTAAGAAATGACTTAGGTATGTATGAGCACTACTGGCCTTATTTAAACTGTTCAGCAATTTGTGTAAAATGTATTTATGATTTTGCAAAACTGCCTAGAAATCTGTTCATTTCAGAATATTACCTATTATCATCACAGAAAGTGCTATGCAGAGGCGCAACATGTCTTGAACATGTTATTTTGGTGAACAACACACACAGTCAAATACAAATAAAACACCATTTATAACAACTGACTAGGACATCAAATTATCATGCTGAACTCACACCTTAAATGGAAGACATTTTATTTGTTTTTTAAATTAAGGAGTGAGAGGATACATCATGGTCCTTAAATTGTGTCAACTGTATGAATAAAAGATGTCTGAAATAATTTCAAGTTGAATGTATTTGACAAAAAACTGTTTAAATAAGGACTTTGGACAAATTGGAAGTATTTCCTATAAGTCTTACTGGGACCTGACATAATATTAATACATTTGATTACTAAAACTTACATTTTGGAGAGATTATTATGTTTTCTTAATTTTTTTCCAGTATACAATGTGTCCTTATAGGTTTGAGCTGGTGCTTTGACAGCCTTTCTGTCTGGAGGCCCTTTTCCAGCTAAATTTCACAGACTAAAAAATCCGACCTCAGAGAGTTTTGGGGTATTTTGGATGGTGAAGAAACTGGATGGAGGAAGGAGACATGGGTGTACAATGGTAGTGCATTTTTAGTATTAGATATCTACAGATGATCTATGGTAAACCCCCCATTTTTTTTTCACTCTTTTGTGGGCTCCAAGATTACTGGAAGAGTGTTTCCACCTGGATATCCTGCAGGCTGACCCAGCCTGGCCAAAATTACAAGTAACTTAGTTCTTGCATTTCCTACTCCAGCTGATAAAATTGTCAGTCACTCAGTTCTCCAAACTCCTATGTTTAGAGTTGTCCTTAGCAATTTTACAACACTCACGCAATCTTTTATTAAGCCCAATGAAGTTTACCTTTCAAATATCTCTCCAGTTTGTCCCCTCCTCGTCTTTACTGTCACAACTGCCTTAAGTGCTTCCTTCCTCCACCTCTTGGCTGGATTATTCCAGTGGTTCAACTCGTCCCTTCTGCCCCTTCCCCACTCCAACCCAGCTCATACCAGTAATCTTTCAAAAACAAATGCAACTACCTTTATGAAATACTGACCTTTCTCCTTATTGTCCCCAAATGAAAGCTACACACCTTAATGTGGTAAACGAACCTTTACAAGATGGCCTTACCCAATTCGACTACCATGTTCCATCTTTCGATATTTCCTGAAGAATCTTAACTATCTCCCAAAGAGTTCATCTATGCCAAGCCACTTTCACATTTCTGAGCTTTTTAATACCTTGATTCATCTTGCTTGAATAACTTCTGCTCCCTTTTCACTTGTTTTCTCTAAGAGAATCTTCTCCTTAAAGGCCGCAAAGTGTAAGCAAACATTAGAAGGAAAAAACTTAGGTAGGAAGCCAACAACAATCACAGCTCCTCCAGATCTGTCTCTCAGGAGATTTTCTGTTTTTGTTTTTGTTTTTCCCTTTCAATTCATGCCTCAGATTTCTCAGATTTCTGGCTGGAGTAGCCGTTAGCAGCACTGTGAACACTGATTTCTCCCTATCTTTTATATCAGGTTTAATTTTTGAAGGAATTTTATTAGGGCATTAAGACTGTAATTCCTAATTCAGTAAGTCTGAGTTTAGGGAAATGCACGTGTGTTTTTCTTTGCTACTAAGGTTGAGAACAAAAGTGTGAAAGCATAAAAATTTAGGCATAGAAACTGGATATCTTGCTTTGCTGTCACTAACCCATAGTCACCAGTGCTTGTAGCTGCCAACAAAGCCTCTTCCCACTCCTTCTCTTTGCCCCAAATTTTGTCTAGGAGATCTCATTCCTAAAGCACATCTCTTCCACCCTCTTTCCTTTTTTATCTTCATTGCCTTTTTACCTTGAGGGTTTTTCACAATCCCAAATCCTTTGTTTCTGTTTGTTTTTTCCCCTCCAGGGACAAGTTTGAACCAGGAATCTTCCAGCCAGGAATGAGTCCTAAATGAACATTCACACTCCCCTACACGAGCACATCAGACACTACAGGCAGCCTGGTATTACCTCCTTCTGCTTGATGAAGGGTAAAGATTATTTTTTAATCTTCTTCAGTGAAATGTTGTTTCCAGAATATATGATAAATGCTAAGGATATTACAATATCTAAATGATAAGACAGATGCAAACAGATGAGAGACTGTTATGCAGTCTAAGGGCCTAAAATATGCAGAGTACAAGCTTTTAATTTTAGTGTAATTAATTGCTCCCATTGTATAATTGCTTGTCATCTCAGTTTTTGTCCTCATATGGATAATTTTTTTTCCTTCTCTGCAGTTTCTCACTTGAAGGAGAACAGAATCCAACAAACATACTGTAAACAGGATGCTAAAATTATGTAGATATGGAATCATGACATACATACATATAAGTCCTTTTGAAAACAATGTGATACTGTTATCATCTAGTCTAGACCTTTTACTTCTGAAGGAATTAAAATCTGGGAAATTAAATGAATTTCTAGAGGTTACACAAAGGCCTCATCTCCTTGTCCCTAGGAATCTTGACTCTGAGTCCAGTTCCTTTTCCATTATAACCAATAACTTCAATACTTTTTAAAGTCTTAGTAAAATTGTTCCATGTTTCTATAGATTCTTTCTTCTGCAATTATCTCCCAAAACTCTGTCCTTGAACTTACCTAGAGTACAGAAAACTTCATCTGAGCTGGCATAGTGGGAAAGACCTAGAACAGATTTCACCCCCTAAACCTGATTCCTTTTGTGACTGTCTGTTCTTCTCAAGTTTTGGTGGGTTCTGTTGTACAAAAGATAAGCGAGAAGGGAGATGAGACCTGAGTTGCTAGTAACAACGTAGTGCTGTGGATAAACCAAGATGTTTCCTTTTCATGTTTCCTAAAGAATGTCACGTTCCTAGATGAAGGGTCAGGTCTCTGAAGGGGCTACCAATGCCACCCCAACCAACTTCCTTCCAGATGTGATGACCCCTCTGCATAAGTTTGGGTTTTGAGTGTGCTGACCATGGTTCTGAGAAGCCCGTGTTAAACATGGCCTTGCTATAAATTCTTCTCCCTTCTGGCCAAATTGTCAGTTAGACGAAGCAGCATCTAACTCTGTGTTTCAGAGCTTTGCAGTGGCCTAGAGGCAGCTATGAAAAACCTGCAACCATTTAAAAAATGTAACAGCTCAAAAAGGTAGCTTTGAAAAAATCTTGTTTATGACCACAACTGAAGTTAAAATGAACAATTCATATGACCAGGAAAAACGGATTTAAATTTATTTGTAACTCTTCCATTTTTCCTAAAATAATATTCCTTACAAGCTTTTAAAAATTAAAACAAGAACTTTGGTTGTTATGCCTCCAGTTACATTTTCCTCCAAAAAAATTAAAGCAGTGTTGTGTGATATAGTGTAACTGTCAACCAAAATAATAAAATTATCCAGAGAAAATTAGGTACAATTCACCTGTGGACATAGGAACACTATATGGCATTAAAGGTCAGTTTTAAGCTGGGGTCTATATAAAGCAATCAAGCAAGAGCAATTAGATAAAGAAGGATGAAGTACCTTTCATGGTATGAGTTAATATAAATTCCATGATGTGAATTACTGCATATTTAAAAGACATGCTCCATCTGTAGCCCCTACATGTAAAAATATCTCCTCACTCACTTGCCATACACACTAAAATGCGTATTCATAGGACATAGACTGCTGCACTTAATTACTCCAAATGGCCTTGGCTGCTTTCCTGTCCATTTTTTCTGGGGTGGGTACCCTGTATTCTAACTAGAGGCATTCTCTGTGATGCTTGTAGTATCAGGATTGCCAACTGCACTTGTGCCCCTGCGTACCTCTCATATAGACCCTGATAACAGTTTTATTGGCATTTAAGCCCACCGACCTTGGCCTCTGTTAGTTATGTGCCTTGTTGAGATTTGGCTCTCCATCTCGTTTATTTTATTTACAATTGCTTGTCACCTCCCTCAGGGTAGGAGGTTGTCCTAATATGAACTTCCCAACGGGGAGTTCTAAGATACACCTTAGAGTACTCCAGCCATGCTATTATCATAATCATCATGCCCAGTCCCTTCCTCTGAGTTTCACACTGTAACAGCAAACAACTGTGAGGATGTAGGATCACCAAAGACACTAACAGCTGTAAATGTCACTGCAAGCTAGGTGCTCAAAGGCCCTGCCTAACTGTGCTGCTTGTCAACTACTGAAGTTCTTCTCTGTAAACACTTCTTTCTCCACTTTTCTCCACTTTCTGATGCTTTTGGCACTTCCTAGGAGATGGTTCCATTTTTATAAACTTTCCCTATAGGCACAGTTGATGACATTACTTTTCTCATCATTCTTGTTATTTCTCAACTCACACCATCCCTGTTGCTGGGCATTTTCCTATTATAGTTATAAATATTTTATTAGGCACTAGTGACTTCCTCATTACTAAATCCAAACGACAATGCTTTTTTTTTTAACTTCCTTTCTTCAGAAAGCATTCTTCCACTTTGGCTCTGTGACAGGACACCACACCATACTATTCCCTTCTTCCACTGCTACACATCAATCCTTGAAGGTGGGTGTTCCTTTGGCATCTGTACTGAGCTTTCTTCTTTTATCATTCTACATTGCCTAAGTGGTTTTGTCTATTCTGAAATCTTCACTTATCCCTCATGTACTAATGACCTACTCCTACCATTTTCCAAAACTCCTATCCCAAATATCCAACTACCTTTTAAATATTTCTGCCTAAGTATCCTGTTGAATCCTCAAATCAACATATTCAAATTGAACCCATCGCCTCACCCTCAACACACACACACTCTTTATTGTCATCTTCATGTTTACTCTCAAAGAATAAAACCAATATCCAGTGCTCATTCTGGCAGCCTGTATACTAAAATTTAAATGATACAAAGAAGATTAGCACAACCTCTGTAAAAGAATGACATGCAAATTTGTAAACATTCCATGTTTTTGTGTGGAGATGCCTTAAAAAACTGAAAACAGACTTACCCTATGATCCATCAATCCCACTCCTGGGCATATATTTGGAGGAAACTCTAATTTGAAAAGACACATACATCCCAATGTTCACAGCAGCTCTATTTACAATAGCCAAGACATGGAGGCAACTTAAATGTCCATCCACAGACTACTGGATAAAGAAGTTGTGAGATATATATATATATATGAATACTACTCTGCCATAAAAAAGAATAAAATAATGCCATTTGCAGGAACATGGATGGACCTGGAGATCATCATACTAAGTGAAGTAAGCAGAGAGAGAAGGAAAAATATCATATGATGTCACTTATATGTGGAATCTTAAAGAAAAAAATACAAATGAACTTACCTATGAAACAGATAGACTCACAGACATAGAAAACAAACTTATGGTTACCAAGGGGAAAAGGTGTGGGAAGGGATAAATTAGGAATTTGGGATTTGCAGATACTAACTACTATATATAAAATAGTTAAACAACAAAGTCCTACTGTGTAACACAGGGAACTATATTCAATACCTTTAATGGCCTAGAATGAAAAAGAGTATGGAAAAAATTATATATATATATATATATATATATATATATATGTATAACTAAATCACTATGCTGCGTACTAGAAATTATATGAAAAGGAATATATATTTTATATGTATAATTGAATCATTATGCTGTGTACTAGAAATTAACACAACATTGTAAATCAACTAATTTCAATTAAAAAAAAAACCCAATATCCATAGTTATCCACATTAAACTTCTGGCAGCCTTCCTTCACCACATTTCCCCCCAATACTCATATACAGAAACTCACTATTTATTATCCATTCTAGCTTCTAAATAACTACTGGATGTTTTCATTTCTCTTCACCTTCAATCACAAACTCAGGGCAGCCATCAGCAGCTCATAACCTCAATTTCTACAACAGCTTTGCTTTCACTGATGCTCAGCACTGCTTTCCCTCGTATATTCTTCACAAATAAGCCATCATACTTTTAAAGCATATTTTATTATATTGATTCTCTTATTTAAGCCCTTGAATGGCCTGTCATTGCCTAATTTAGGATGAAAACCAAGCCTGCCGGCTCTGGCCCCTGACTACCTCTCCAGCCTTTCTGCTGCCTCTTCCCCACCTCCTTTTGTTCCATGTTCCAATATTACTGACTATTTAAAAATTCATTGAATGGGCCATATTCTCTCTGGACTTCTCATCTCCACCGGCTCTTCTTCCCACTCTTCTCTTTGTGGAGCTAATTTGTATTTATCTTTCAGCTTTCAGCGTTAAAGTCATTTTAAGAAACCATTACCGGAGCTCTCTCATTCTCTCTACACAGACTCAGGTGCTTTCGTCTCCCAGCTCCTAATGCATTCCCATCATATCATTCACTTATGATCATGCCTTGCTTTTTCTTTGTCTTCAGTGTCTAGCACAGTGCTTGGCAGATGGGAACTTACTGTCCATTGGAAGAACAAAAGACTGAATGAAAGTACAAAGTGCTTTCTTTTCCACTGAGTTAATATATTTTTTTTCCATCTATAACACAGTACCGCCCTACATGCTGAATGTATACTCATGTATATGCTTAATGTGTCTGTACAAAAGTGGAACAGGGAAGAATTGAAGGTAAGGTTGGAAGAAATAGAAGATGGAGAGTGATTTATGGCCAGATGCAATTCTTCAAGGCTTCAAGGCGATTAAAATTGAGAAAATTCAGTAAGTAGCTTTGGATTTCTCATCATGAAAAAAAAAAAACTGTTTATTTTGAACTTCTGAGTTTTGCCTTTTAGCATATGTGGAATACTTACTTAAGAAGTGTGAAGGAATTAAAAATATTATACCTCAGAAGATTTCATGTGAATTCTTGCTGAAAAAATAAAAATCAAAGAAAATGTTCATGTTTTTTAAATATTTAATCTCAATAGAAATAGGTAAATTGTAAAGGGCACCTTGGGATACTCCAAACACAAAATTATTTCCATCTAGGTTTAGAATCAACAGTATGACCTTTTATAAAGATTATAAAATTTATGTTGCTAATTACGATTGCTTATGTAACAATTAAAGAGACTTGCATTACTTTTACATACACCTGCAAGCAAGGATCTGGATAGCTGGGAAATAAACAAGGGATTAGGGATTTTAACAACAAATCTATCTATAGAATGGATAGTTTGTAAATGATGTAGAATTGTTTATATATGACTTTTATTGCACATGTGTAATAAATATTATGTATAATATATATATTCACATTTTTGTGCACTGGTTAACATGATTAAAATATGAAATACAGTGATAAGTTATTACATGGGCTTTGGTTCTACTAGTTTATAATATTTTTCCTTAGTTGACAATAAGAAGGCAAAATTTTTTTTCCAAGCTGGAACTAACTTATGAATAGGCATTTTAAGAAAGACTTTTATGTCTGCCTGCCTGCATATCTCTGTGTGTGTGTGTGTGTGTGTGTCTGTCTGTGTGTCTGTCTGTGTGTCTGTGTGTGTGTAAAGTCAGTGAGAGTTTAGCTCACATCTGGTTTGGGGATCCTGCACAGAACTAAACAGAGTTAGCTTAGTTTAGGATAGGGATCATGATACCATTTGTCTCCTGGTTTCCCTGCACTGGCTTAATGCCATCCAGAACTCTGCTCCTTCTCAAATCCCATCAAATAAGCTATATTTACGTGCATTTTAAGTTTACTGGAAACTTCACATGAGGTTTTTGGAAGATGGGGAATTTACACAGGGTTTCAGCTTTCCACCATCTTGCTCCCTTTTTTTCCTCTCTCTTCTCCTTTCCCCAAATCCCTGTTGCGCCATCACATAGGGAAGTTCTTTCTACCATTTCTTTCGCTTCTTGCTTTGTGCTGACCTAAGTCCCTCGCCTCCCTAGGCTCCTCTCCTTCTTCCTCCATTTAGTGGCTTATCAAGATGGTTCCCACAACAAAAACTATTCTCTCACTAAAACCATTCTGTTCTTAGCTTGTTAAACGCAGCAAAATCAAAAAAGCTTCACCATGTTACAATAAAACTATCTTTTTTAAACAAAAAAAAAACAGCAAGTCTATTAGTTTATACTTTCTGCCATTTTAAAATAAAGTAGTAAAGTTATGCTGATTTGTAATAATAACAGTTTGTGGGAAAACAGCAGTACTAATGCTCTTTTAATAATAATGGAAAAATATGATTAATCAATCTAAAAGTTCAAAATCTAAAGTACACTGATTAACTTTGCATCTTAGAGTAGGGAACTATACTTTGATATATAGTGGTTAGCATCTTTTTTAACAGAATGTGAGTTACTTAATAAATGAACATTTGGATGGCTGATCAAATTTGTGTGTGACTGGCATGCACATTGTGTGAAAATTATGATCACTTAAAAGCAATTAATACTAAGTAATACTTCACTATTTGAGTGTTTATGCCTAAATATCTAATAGCTTTTCTTTAATTGCTTTAAAAATAAATAGTACTTGACCTTCCTAAAGCAGTAATTCAGAAAGAACGTCACTTTACTAAATAAATGAGATAAGCTTAAGACAAAAGCAATCTACTGAATTTATGCTTTAGAACAACTAGGGAGGAAAACCCAGTACTTCTGACATGAATACAACACAGTAGGTTACGGAAGCAAATTAAGGGCAGAAAACAGCTCTGACAGTTGAACTGGGTGAGTACTGATCACAGAATTTGAATTTATTTCAATTCTGCCTTATTTGAAAAGATATTAATATTACATAGGCTCCTTTTTATTTTTAAAGTTCTTCCTTTTTTAACTACCATCTCTTCAATAGTACAAGAAATTAAAGAAAAAACTGAGGAAAATCAAAGTATGTTATATTACATGTTTGGCAGCATAAAATGGTAGCTATTGACCTTTGAAACTCTCCTGTCCTAGTTGTTGAGAGAGTCTCACATAAGAGGGCTAATAAATCACCCTTTCCATGAACACATCTCCTTCTTGGAGGCTGTGTTGTTGCCCAAGAGCTGACAAGCCCAGCCGCCTTCCCTGAGTGGGAAACAAGCTCTGCAGGTCTGCAAGACAATGCTATTCTTTAGGACTTTCTAGAATAAAGCAAAAGATATAAAATTACTACCATTAAATTGAATAAAAAGGTGAAGCTATTATCCCTAGTCATTAAATAATCTTGGAACAATTTGGAGTCAGTTAAACCCTCACATTATTTCTCCTTTGTGCTTTGAGTCCCAGTGTGAGGCTTGTGTTGGCAGAGATGAAAGAATCTCACCTTGTGAGTCACTTAGAACAGCTAGGAAGGACGGCAAATGCTCCAAGAATGATTAGAACTACCAACTTAAAATGCATTAATGAGATTATTTGCATTATTCAATAAATATTTAATGCCAAGATCTTGACCTATATTCTTTAATATGTTTTTTTCAATTTCACAGGCACCACTTTTCTTCATGGAGTTGTAAGAGGTATATCAAAGAACCAAAGATCATAGACCATCTATTCATAGACTTTTTTCTGGATTCCCATCATTCTGTCTTTTATAGTACAGTGATTACAAAATTAAACACCAACTTTTTTGACATTTAAGGCCAAGAGCAAAAAAAAAAATAAATAAATTGGCAATATCAGAATCACTTCAAATTATCTGATTCAGTAAATATTACATGCATGCAAAACAAGTGCATACACCTTAGGTTCTATGTGTTAAAATATGTATGTGTTTTACATTTCCTACCCAGAAACTAAATCCTTTTTCTTCATTGGAAGACCTAAGTTACAGAGAAATATTAATATAAGAGAAAATCTACTTAAAATATGTGTATTCTATGTGATGAGAATACACAGATCTTTCCCCCTCTTATAACTCATGTCAGTTTTTGCCTTTGAGAGTTCCCTATAAGAGCAACTAAGATTAGTAAGGACTCATGTTAGTTGAGTAGCACAAGCTCTTCTTTTCCTCTGTGCCTGACTATGTTTTATAAGGAAAGGATGA